CGTTTGAGGCAAATCATCACGTCGGGACCAAGACCATTTGCGCATCACATTGTTGTAAACAATCCACTTCTCATCATCAGTTATCAGTCGCTTCAAAAAAAGATTGTTTTCCTCACGTTTAATGAGCATATTGTAGATGTTTATACGCGCCGTCAAATGAACTTCTTTGAGTTCATGAGGAACCCAAATATCGAGCTTGCTTACGTATCCCAGCTTCTTCAGGTGGTCGTGAACACTTGAATGATAGATGTTCAATGTTTCTGCAATCTTTCGTGTCGTGTAACGTGGGTTTGATTCAATCAATGCCTTTATTTTGTCGTCATCAACTTCGATAGGCCTCCCTGACCGAGTAGCGTCTTTGAGATAAAAATCACCAGCACGGAATTTCGTGAACCATCGTTGGCATTGACGTTCTTGTACAGCATTGTCACCGTAAACTTTACGCAACTTTTCACAAGCTTGACGTGCGTTCTTCCCTTTACGGAAGTAAAACAGTAATATATGACGAAAATGCACAGTTTAGTTTTCCATCTTCAACTTGTCATAAAATCTCCAAAACTCAACTAAATTGCTCAATTTTTTTTTTAGAATGAAGCTAGAACTGTGAGCTGTCAAATGACATAGCAATAACACAGATGCAAATGACTTTAATACTTCCAAAAAATGAACTAGCGCCATCTGTTGCAAAAATGCGTCATGACTTTTCCGACAATCCAATATTTACAACTTTTTAATGCACACTGTGCCCACAAATAGGTTTCATTTATGAAAATTGTTTTGTTAATAACTTTTTTTATAAACAATGAGCGACGCCTAAAACTTCTCGTATATTACTCAGAAGAGTGAGTTGTATAATATATGTAAACAGCAAAGTCATTAGTGGAGGGTAAGTTAAAGTAAATATTTACAGTAAATACTCTATATTTTGTCTTGGTACTTTTTAGCATAAAATGTGAAATATCTCCTAAAATATACATTTTTCTATAACCTCAACTTAATACTTTTGTATGTAGAGTGATGGGTAAAATCGATTATTGCAAAAAAAACATAAAAATTTTGAAATTCTATGCATTTTGAAGATTTATTGATGCACCAATATGCAAAGATTAGTATCACCGATCGATTTTTTCTGTTCATTCTATATACAAAAGCATTCAGTTAAGGTGGTCGAAAAATGAATAATTTACGAGATATTTTATATCCTGTATCGAAAAATAACAGGATAAAATATGAAATATCTTAGGAAATATTCACTTTTTGATGATTTTATTTATATAATATTTTTGTACGTAGAATGATTAGAGGAATTGATTTATATTTTAAAAACTATATGATTCCATTTAAAAAATTAGAGTTGACCTTCACAGAGTTTTTCAAAGTGATTTCAAGATAAAAGAAATATCATTTTTTTCCCTCGATATCCTACAATTTTTGTTAGAAACTTTTTTTGAAAATGCATTGTTTTGGTAACATTACGATATCTAATAAAAGATATTTAGCAATACAAAAATTTAAAAAATCTAAAATCTGTGTAATTGTAGAACAGTACGTTCTAATAAAACAATTTTTTGTTAAGGCTAAAAAGCTAAAATTATAAGGATGAGAAAACACCTTTTAGAAGGAAATCATTTTTATAAACGTGTATACAGAGTATACGTGTTTTTTTAAATGTATATACAGGGTGTTTTCCAGACCACCTTCACAATCTCTCGTGAAGACGTAGAGCAGATTGAGATAAACATAAAAGTCCTACACCGTTTTGTGATATTTGCAATAATAGTCGAGAAATTAATTGTGAAAAATTAAGAGAAAACGCGCGCTGAATGGTCGGAGGAGGAGCGCTCGAGCCGCAACGTTAACCTAGTAATATAGCACGCGGATGCGTGGAAGAACATCGCGCCAATGGCTGCACTCTCACTGAACGCTTTTTCTACTGAACTCATCTATTGCCTGTGCTTAGCCAGCGTACGGGGGCTCAAAATCGCATCACTTATAAGCACAAACAGAAGCATGATGTTCTTTCACTCACCGCGCGCCGGCATCCGTGTACTATATTACTGGGTTCGTACTGCGGCTTGAACGCTCCTTCTCCGACCATTCAGCGCGCGTTTTTCCTTAATCTTTCACAATTAATTTCCCGACTATTATTGCGAATATTACAAAACGGTATAGCACTTTTAATTCATATCAACCCGCTTTACGTCCTTACGAGAGATTGTGAAGGTGGTCTTGAACACTTTATATATATATAAGATATCCCAGACTCTCTTCCACATATTTTGTGGAAACGTAGAATGGGTAGAGGTGAACATAAAAGTCCTATACCGTTTTGTGATATTCGCAATAATAACCGAGAAATTAATTGCGAAAGATTAAGAAAAAACGTGCGTTGAATGGTAGAAAACGGAATTGTAGCCCGACCTAATAACATAGCGCACGGATGTCGGCGCGCGGCGATTGGAAAAACAACGTATCACTACCTGCGTATATCGCTACCCTCCTACGTGTCGTCTCAGTGTGATGCGGCTAGACGTAAGAGCGCAGCGATATAAGCACAGGCAGTGGTGCATTGTTTTTCGCCACACGCCGACATCCGCGCTATAATTCGAGCGCTTCATCTTCTACCATTTAGCGTACGCTTTTTCTTAATCTTTCGCAATTAATTTCTCGATTATTATTGCGAATATCGCAAAACGGTATAGGTTATTTTCACCTCAATTTATTCTACGTTCTCACAAAATATGCAGAGGAGAGTCTGGGACATCCTGCATATACAAAGTGTCTGTACCGTACCAGACTGATACTGATGGTACTGATTCGTACAGTACCAGTAGTGCGATTCTGTAACTCGTTATTGCAGTTAACGAGAGTTTTGTTATCGTTGCGCAGCTTTTCTACAGTACGAAAAAGCTGTGCAATGATAACGAAACTATCGTTAACGGCAAATTAACGAGTTACTCTATCGCACTACAGAGCTAATATATAGCTAGAATAGGTAGAGGTGAGTAGTGGAATTAATGTCTTTTTTTAAACAATCACTTAAAATTTGAGATATTAACGATAAAAGATTTTTCCCGAGCAGCAGCTCACTGGTCATAGAATAATGAAGGCGTGCTAGGTGGTTGGGCCACCGTGCATTCGGGACCTGCGTATTTTCGTTCTAGAGAGAGAAAAATATCGAAAGCGCGGTTTGCTAGGTCGGGACTCGAACCCGGATTTTTCGCTTGCCGGGCGACTGCTCTAAACTACTAAACTACCTGACGCTCCACGCTCACGGTACTTTCCTCTTCCTAGATAACGCTCAGAGATGCCATTTGGAAGCGACATCTCTGGCGCTATCCCGAGTGCATGACGACTACAAAAATTTTGAGATATTAACGATAAAAGATTTCTACTAAGTGGCAGCTCACTGGTCAATCAGCACGCGCGCTGCAGTGAGACGAACGCTATACGCTCTGTCGCCTGGGCATGAGAGGCTAGCCGGGCCAGCTTCCTAGCTACGAAGAAAATGACCGAAAAAAATAGACTACAGTGAGTAAAGGACGATCATTGATGCAATTTTGACCCTGCATACTCGTTGCTAAGAGGCTGGCCCGGCTAGCTGTGACAACACGTATAGCGTTCGTCTTATCGCATCGCGCGTGCTAAGCCGCGGTGGATAGCTGATTGACTACTGAGCTGCCACCCGGTAGAAATCTTTTGTTGTTAATATCTCAAAATTTCACGTGATTGTTTAAAGAAAAAGACACCTATTTTATTAGTCATCTCCCCCCCTTTTTTTTGTTAAGGCAGGGGAAATTCTTTACGCATACCCGCAACTTCTGGGGAGAGTTGCGGGTTATTTGAGACTCTCTCTCTCTCATCAATATAGAGAGAGGGCCTACCCACTAAAACCCCTGCCGGATGCTTTCTCTTGGGGCAAAGTGGGGGAACTGCTGACATTACATCCCCGGCTCCCCGCCCATGAGGAGGTCTAGTGAGCTCCCTTTTCTTTACCGAGTCCACCGCGTATGAAGCGCAGAGAGGTCCCAACTTCCCGAACGGCATCGTGACTCGCCACCCGGGTTAACCGCCTCCTTGTCTTTTGGGAGGGAGCGAGGGGCACTCGTCCCGCTCCCCTTCATCCTTCCCCTTTTTACTTCGGAGGGGGCGGGGGAAATGGGTCCGTCTCCCAGGACGGAATCCATCCTCCCCTTCCCACTTCTCGTGCCCCGAGGAGCCTCTGTAGGGGAGGGGGCTAAGCTCCCTATAGGGAGGGAGAGAGTTAATCCCCTCCGGCGGACTCGCTCCCTCCCAGAAGACAAAGAGGCAGTTAACCCGGGTGGCGAGTCACGATGCCGTTCGGGAAGTTGGGATCCCGCTGCGCTTCATACGCGGTGGACTCGGTAAAGAAGAGGGAGATGACTAGGCCTCCTCATGGGCGGGGAGCCGGGGATGTAATGTCAGCAGTTCCCCCACTTTGCCTTCTGCGACAAGATATCCACGCCCTACATTATTACTGGGTCATACTACAACTCGATAGGAACCCTACAATCAAAGACTAGCCATCATGGACGTACGTGGATACTGGCGCACAGTGCTGATGTTATACTCGTTTTTTCTGTAGATTTTCTTCTCAATTTAACGTTCAGAACTTCTCAATCTCGGTTTACATTTAGATGTAAACTGTCACTCGATTCCGGCGATAATGACAGTCGTAAACGACACGAAACTGGTCGCGTTGCGGCAATAACTAATCAGCATCGCAGAATATCGGCAATATTTCGATAATTCCAAGACGATTTCGATACATTCGAGATTGCGATATTTTGAGATTCGATTGACGTGCCTTTTTTAGAAAGGGATATTATATTTGCTTTTAAACTAAGTTATATCATAATCGCATTTATTTTAAACAAACTGAAATAAATAAACTTTATCCGCTTTTTAAATTATACATTTAATAAGTATTTATGATTTAAAAATTATTTCAACAGGTCAACAGTTTTTATCTTTTTTAGGCTACCACTCACCATATCGGCAGACTCCAGTACAACCAGTAAGGTTATTAGTTGAACCGGGTTATGAGGAACCACATAGTAAACCTAACGCATCTCCCAGACCAAGTATCCTGAGAAAAAGAGATCATGATAATTCACCAGTCAAAGGTACAATTATTATATACGCACCCGCGCGCGCGCGCGCACACGCACACGCACACACACACACACACACACACACACACACACACACACACACACACACAAAGAATATCTGTTAATTAAAGACAAAATGCTCGTTCTGTTAATCTGTTAATTAAAGACGTATGCAGATAAAACGAATTAAAGTAAACTAGTGTTTACCAGAATTGGACAAAAGTTGGAAAAAGGAGAAAAAACATGGATTTCCCGGATTTTTATTGAAAAGAAAAATGTTTTGATAAAGAAGTTAGTTTTTTGTATTAATTTGAATAACATTATACATTTAAGTAACATTAAAGGAATTGTATTGTACCATGACAGAATGGAGTAAATTTTATATCACATGTATTCTTATATTTCTTCTGTTGTAAGTATTAGGATAATAATGTAATTAACAAATAAATTGAAAGAATTCACTTGAGACACTAAGAATATAGTATTAGATAAACTGAACTGTTTTTTAGATTCCTAACTTCTTAGCATATATTTTTTTCGATGAATTGAGGAACATATCAAATGGTCATGATTATAAGCTGCTTCTTAATTAGTCTTATTTCGGCACCCATAATTAGTTATATTTCAAACTAAAGAAGCTGAAGTGACAATACAATGTAAATATTAACCCTTTATTATACTATTATCTAATTAATAAGAATACAATACTGTTGGTTTTATTTTAGGATACAATATCAGACAGTATATAACGAGTTAGTTTTGTGCTCTAGAAGACTCTCAAACAGACTGACTAGCTGTGACCTAGGGCTAAGACCAAGACTAACAAGGAGATGCCACAACTTGCTAAATCGATTTCTGAACGAGACATAGCACGTTCGCTAGCTGCGATATTAAGCATCAACACCCTAATTGATATTTGTGCAAATGGGCCTTTGTTTATGAGAAATTACAATATAAAGTTTAGATTGCGGGACTGTATCACGGATATGGCTAAAAATGCGACTATCTTTCAGCGAGGTGGCGTGGCTGAGCAGACTGAGGCTCCCACGTCGAAAATTTTTTGAGCCGGCAGCGAGCGTTCGAAACCCGGCGACGAGTTATCCTTGTTGTGCGGTGTTTTTTTTTTTGGTTTTCTTACCTTAGA